ACGGACAGACAGACAGAGGGAAGGCAGCCATGTGCAGACGGAGGCAGAGATCGGAGGTAATGCTGCAACAAGGCAAGAAATGCCTGGGGCTCCCAGAAACTGGAAGCCACAAGGAACCCTCCCCTAGAATCTTCAGAGAGAGCACGGCTCTGCCAACACCTTGATTTCAGGCTTCTGGCCTCACTGCGCCACCCAGTTTGGGGCACTTTGATACCACAGACCTAGGAAACTAATACAAGAGATGACCATCCTAAACACTAGGGAAAAGCGAAGAACAAGAAATGTACACCCATAAGGAGGTTTACGTATGTATATTTGGGGAACAGAGCATAGTAAAGTGCTGAGCAAGAAGACAAGAGAGTCATTTACGGTTAAAAAAGAAAAAATGAAGTAAGGCCCCCTCTCCTTTAAAAGAACCTCTTTTCAGAAATGCACCAAATCAATGTGGAAACCGCCACTGAGAGCAGATGAAAAGGCAGCCTTGGGAAGAGCCAAAGGAGGGACGGCAGTTCCCTCCACACCCGAGGCTTAGAGACCCAGTTCGCTTAGAGACGCGTCTGAGCCATGGAGCCACCGTGGATCCTGGCATGTCCTCTCAGGGCCTCAGCCTCCCCAGTGAAATAAATGGGAAAGAACTGACTCACTCAGTTACAAAGCAGAAAATACCACACCATCGTAAAGCAATTATACTCCAATAAAAATGTAAAAAAAAAAAAAAAAAAGAAAGAAAGTGACAGCTCCTGGGCGGTACTGCTGGGATTACCGCAAGGTCAGGTGGGCGTGGACCTGGCACACAGCAGGTTCTCCAAACGTCAACTGGGTTCGAAATGAGTGCATCAGGCAGAAAGAGCTTCACCCTGCAGCTGCCCCCTATTGCAGCTCCGCACGCGCCTCCTTTCCAGCTCCTCCTCCTGGCGGGCTTGCCCTCACACAGTAAGTGAGTACATATTTCTATCATCGCTGAAACAACAGCTACCACTTCCCGAACACCAGGACGCGTCAGGCCCCGGGCTGGGCGGTGTGTGTAGGTTCTTCTCTACTGGGTACATGGTTACGGCTCACGTGAGGCCGGCAGGCAGGTACTCTCCCCACTTACAGACAGGAACGTGGGGCTTGGAAATCAAGAGGCAGAGCAGAGACTGCTGCCGTGGCAACCCGCACAGTCTCCCTCCCACACGGGGTGTCAACCGTCATTACATGCATCCCCCTTGTCAGGCATCATCGTCCCCACAGGGCAGGGGGTGGGTCCCCCAGCACCCAGCCAGGGCCAGGCACAATGAGGGGGTTCAGGTATCATCTGTAGAGCAGACTAAGGAACCAGCTGGCCAATCCCCACATTACGGAAGCCAGGGCTGATGCCTTCCCAACCCTAGGAAATACTAAGCCTTATCTATTTATCAGGTAAATAGATAAATACCTGATGTCAGATTGTTTTCCTGTGGCTTCCTCCTAAAATAGAAAAGAAAAAAAAAAGGGGGGAATTAGCGGTATTATGTGATGAACTTGACACGTTACCTCTCTACTGGTTCATATGAACTGACGCCTCGGAATTTTAAGCCACAGGGTCAGCTACTTTCAAAACTGAGCATCATAAAAACCTAATCAGGAAAAGCAGAGTGATGTGCTGGTCCTCATGCTGCTCACAGCTTGAAGTCAGAGAGGGCTGTCACTACCTGAGGTATGTCAGCCTCGGAAAGCCATCCTAAAACCAGACAGTTGCTGGTTTTTTCCAGAACACCGTGGGTCCCACTCCTGGGGCAAGTGGGCAGGATCTTCACAAACTTGAGAACAGGTTTCCACCAGGACATCCCTGGGCGTCCGGGCCACCGATAGTGTAGTTTCTCATCCATCCACTGGGCACCGACAGCCACTCCGTGCCAGGCGGGTGATGGGAGACGGAAAGCCACCCAGGACCAGGCGCTCCTGGACAGTCCTGATCCAGCAAAGGCAAGAGACGCATTCAACCAGCGGCAGCCCCGGCGGCAAAGTGCTTTAACAACCTAACAAAATCCAACCTCAGTCCTGGGGAGGAAGTAACCATCAGTCCAGTCCAGCAGCAAATCATGCCCGCTCCACCCCCAGAAAATTCCAGATCCGTCTGTGTCTCTCCCCAGCATCCCCACAATCCAGGCCACAACTGGCTTCCTTGGTCCCATTCTCACCCCATGGCAACACATTCCCCACCCAGCAGCAGACCAATCTTTGCAGACACAAAGCAAATCTTGTCACTCCTCTCATAAGCCTGCAGCGGAGAATAAACCTAGCAGTCCACCCATGGCCTGCAAGGCTGGCCCAGCGTGACCTGGGACCCCCATGCCTCTCGGGCCTTGTCTCCCAGCGCCCTTCCCACCTGTCTTCCCTCTCCAGGCCCCAGCCTCTTTCAGCTCTCCACACCCACCAAGCGGCACCCAGTCTTAAGGTTTTGCTCTTCCCCCACATCTGGCCCTTTCTCCAAGGTCAGCTCCTCAGACTGGCCTCTTCCCAACCTCAATCCTCCCCGTTTACAGAGCTGTCACTTTACTTGTCCGTGGTGCTCACGTTGTACACAGTTGTTTAGTCAGCGCCAACGCAAAGCATGGTCCGCGGACCAGCAGCATCCGCATCACAACCTGGAGCTCGTTAGAAATACAAATCTTCCAGCTCCCCCCATGCACACACGAGTGTACACATTCAGACTCTTTGGGAGCGGGGCCCAGGAATCTGTGTCTTAACAAGCTCTCAGGCGATTCTTATGCAAGTGCAAGTTTGAAAAGATCTGGTCTATGAGACTTCCCTGGTGGTCCAGTGGGTAAGACTCCATGCTCCCAATGCAGGGGGCCCGGGTTTGATCCCTGGTCAGGGAACTAGATCCCGCATGCCTGCCACAACTAAGAAGTCCGTATGCTGCAACAAAGATCCCGTGTGCTGCATGCAACGAAGACCTGGTGCAGCCAAAAATAAATAAATAATTTAATTTTTTAGAAAAGGGACTTCCCTGGTGGTGCAGTGGTTAAGAATCCACCTGCCAATGCAGAGGACACGGGTTTGATCCCTGGTCCAGGAAGATCCCACATGCCGCGGAGCAACCAAGCCCGTGTGCCACAACTACTGAGCCTGCGCTCTAGAGCCCGCGAGCCACAACTATGGAGCCCATGCGCCACAGCTACTGAGGCCTGCATGCCTAGAGCCTGTGCTCCGCAACAAGAGACGCCACCGCGATGAGAAGCCCGCGCACCTCAACGAAGAGTAGCCCCCGCTCACCGCAACTAGAGAAAGCCTGCGCGCAGCAACAAAGACCCAATGCAGCCAAAAATAAACAAATTAATTAAAAAAAAAAAAGAAAAGACCTGGTCTAGTTCATGTATTTGGTTCCTTGGTGACTGTCTGACACAGATATGTCACATTGTGAGCAGCAGTGCTG